GATTTACATTAAATTCCAAGATAATGACCTTTTATTAGTATAATTTATATATATTTTTAAAACTGATCTATACTTGAGTCAGAGGTGCTCCTAACAGAACTGTATTTAAACCTTAGTGGTGTCCTCCTCTGACTGGTCTCATTGACATAAGTGTTAGCCATCAGCAAGGTGTCAGCCAATGTGAGCTGTCAGTTTACAATGTGAAGGATACACATATCCATCACTTCCACATCACCAAGTTGCTGAGCACTAAGCAATACTCCCTAGTTTATTCACATGTTCCCATTTGACTATATAACCACTTTTTCAAAATTCAACCATTTAATCAAGCCCTGAAATAAAGTTTTGAATACAAAAAAAAAAAAAAAAAGCTGGCATAATAGGTATACCTGAAAATGCTGCTCCATCACTTGGATTTTTCCCTGCTCTGGGCACTTTTTCAGAGCACGATCTGCATAATGGAACAGAATTTCTACCATCTGTAAGGAAAACAGCATTCACTGAAATCAAGAGAGGTCTCTAAAGTTTTTTAAAATTTAATATATGTGGTCCACCTAAATAATACATGCCTGGGTTTGTTATTGTATTAAAAATAAAACTAGAACTTTTAGTGGATAACTTGTTTTTAGTCCTTGCCTAATTTCTTTTCACCTCAGAGAGATAATACTAATTTGCTAATCTTTGCTAAGAAATGTCTCTCTACATTCTGGGTCTCAATATAGGTAATATCTATATCGCTCAGGAAATAAGAACTGAAGTTAAATTCTTCAGCAGTCCTTTGGGGAGGTCTTTCCCTAGTCCGCACGCATGAGCAAAGCACTCATGAACTCAGATCTCTAGCATTTCCTCTTCCTTTCCGCTGCCTTTTAGCTATTGTGCTATTTTATTATGGAAAATGGGCAGTGGGAGATTTAAAAAAATCAAAAGCATTACAGCCAATACTGAAGAATTATAATCAGACCTATTTTTATATACTGTCTCTAAAATTGTAGCTATTCAATCATGTCTAAAGAAATTAGCAAATACGAAAGTATCTGTATCTAATGAAGACTCCATTAAAATACTCACCCTATCTGCAACAACAGCCTTTCGCTTACTGACATCCCCTGATAAGCCTGCAGAGAAACCAAGTTCAACATAAAACAGAAGTTACTGCATATTTCTCAGGAGAGAACCTGTGTTCTGCACTCTTCACAACTTGTGCTAACAGATATAATTGCAACTACCCTTAGTGTCAAAAATATTGGGATAAAGGAATACCTCATATCTATCAAACCAGGTAGCATATCAATATACTTGTTTTCATTGTAAATTTTCCTTATGAAAGTTTTTTACTTACCCACGACTGCCTTTGCTTTTCCTTCATGGAAAGACCATGCAAGCGCCAAGGCTTCTGTGAGACAATCTTGCTTCAAGAGATGATCCACTCTCTAAAATGATTAAGTGAAAGTCAGGTCTCTTTGATCAATCATCAGTGAGAATTCCTACTCTGTCTACTATCTTTCCATAATTCACTGATTGGGAGTTAAAATTATTCCAATAACACTGAAATATTATTCTAACATCGGACTTTTTCTGAAGATACCACTATCATATTTTTAAGAAAAATAGTTTCTTACAACACTGCATAGTATAAGGATTACATAGGCTACTATGGAAGGCCAAGGGGCCTAAATATGAAGAAGCAATCAGCAGCAATGTCATTTTAGCAGAAATGAGTAGTTATTTATCAAAATAATAGTCCCACTTCCTTAGTTATAAACCCCAAGTTTGAGATAGCAATACATCAGCTAAAAGAAATTTCTAAGACTTCCTTTGACTTGAGGCTGTAATAAAACTATGATCAATGACAAGTGGAATGTCTTCTGTTACTATTTCTGTGATGTGGCCTTTAAAGGCAGGGGCCTGTGTTCATTTTCTCCTCCATCTTTACTTTGTTCCTGATCATAAACTTGACAGTTGGAGCATTAGCATCATACTGGACTACAAAATGACCTTGAGACTAGAATTCAAACATAAAGATGATGGAACAGGACAGCATATTGAAGACCATGGAGCTCCCCAACTAGTCCTAGATTGTCTATCCCTAGATTACTTTCAGATGAAAAAGAAATCTTCTTTAAACCCTTTATGAATCTCCTGATATATGTAGCCACACCTAACACTAACTCATATAATCATTTTTAGGAAATTAAGCACCTAATGGTTATAATGGTTTTTATGTACATTTCTTAAAGAGCAGAAATCCAAATACGCAGCAAAGTCAAAACAAAAATAATTTACTTTTGCTCTTTAACTTAGGGTTTTCTCATGTAAGAGAAATCAAGTGATATTATAAGCTTGTCTGTTCAATTTACTTCACTTCACAATATTGTATGAAATGGAGATAGATCTTTTGCAAATGGAAAAGGGCCCAGGAAATGGAGGGTGGGGGAGGTACGTGAGAGGAAGGGGATGTAAAAAGAGCTGAGACAGGTTGTATGCATGTACCAACTCTCCATGATGAATGTAATAAGTACTGCAAACATATTATTATACAAATTGTAAAATAAACATTACAATACTATCAACTCAGAGGCTCTAATAACAAAATTGTTTTCAACTCACCTCTCTCCAGCTTCTCAGCATCATTACATAAACAGACTGAAAAATAAAGAAAATTAAAATGCTCATTTTTAACAGACTTGTTCAGAGACATAGTTGTTTTACATCTGATTTTAGATTTTATTTTTTATACTACAATTTAGAAACTTATCTTAGTGTTTATTTAAGGGTCTTCAAAGGTTTACTGACGAGTAAACCAAACATTGAAAGGTTAGTAAGATACAATCAAAAGAGTTAATACCACAGACAAGGAAAAAAGAAGCCCAAGCTTATCTCCCTTTCAGTTGACTTGACAATATTTTAGTTGATTTTCTTTTCGATTTGATAACCTTTCTTTTCTTCCTTCTCTCTTTCTTTTAACAGTGCTAGGGATCAAACCCTGGGCTTCGTGCATGGTTGAAATTTTTAATAATGAAAACATTTTTTCATTTAAACTGAAAGTAAGTAAAAGCACAGGAACAAACTGTTACACAGAAAGTTCCTATTCCAATGATTTCTATTCTAAGTTGAATGCCTCAAGGCATTTAAATGTATCCTAAACTACCTAAGCTAAACTCCATGTTAATTGTATGATAAATACACATGATTAGGTATCATCCTCATCATTAAAACAAACGTTAAGGAAGGTTATGAAAGTATATCCCTGAATCAAGAAAACAAGTAATGAGGTGTGGTGATACATGTCTGTAATCTCAGCATTCTGGAAGGTTGAGGAAGCGGGATCCCAAATTTAAGCCTAACCTGGGCAATGTAGAAAGACCCCATTTCAAAATAAAAAATAAGAAGGGCTAGAGATAATAGCTCAGAGATAAACATCCTATCCACTAAAAGTGGGTGAAAGAAATCAATGAACTAAAAATTGTGACTGCCTAATATTAACTTTCAGATCATTGCTAATCATGTGTATTTTACATTACACCATCCCTCTTTACAAATAAATGCCTTCAGCCCGTTACACACAAATGCCAAGAGTGGAAGGGCTTACTTTTGTCCCCAGATAAAAGATCTGACCACCACAGCTACTGATGGATTGGTAACAAGCCTTCTCTCCAACCAAAGCCTGAAAAAAAATTAACAAGGTAAAAAGCAAAGGCATTAGAAGTCTCACTGCATTCTAAAGAATGTTGACTATAGCAGTAACATTTGAAGTCAACATGTTTTCATCCCACAAGTGAGTGGAAGGAAAATGTCAATCAACCACCAATCTGACAGTGGAAATGTTACTGAAAAGACAAAGTTCAGAAAGTAATTCTCTACTTAAAGAGCCCTTCTGTTTTTCAGAATAATATAGAAAAGAGAAGAAATATGCCAATGGGTAAATCTGAAGGAAAACTGTGGCAACCTGCACTTTTTATGGAGACAGTCACTGCTTCTGGCAATAGGGCTGACTGAAAAATAGTGCCTCCAATAAAATAGTGCCTTTGCTTATTTGAAATAAATATCAACATAAAACCCAAGAGCAAACAGGGAGACAAAGCACCATATTAGCTCTGTCACTTCGCATTATGATACTAAATGAATTTCAAACTTCTGACATCCACTTTCCCATCTTTGAAAAACCCTGGACAGTTTTTGTGAGGCTTAAATGGGTTAGTATTTATATAGCTGTCAAAATATATATGGTCAAAAACTGAAAACTATGACTATTTTGTAACTTTATTATGAGAATTTAAAAATATATACAACAGTAGAAAGAATAATTAACCCTTGAATATATCCACCAACCAGCTTCATCAATGACTCATCACCACCTATATTTCCACCACTCCCAGACAGATTCCAGATTCTGCAAATTATCTATGAAAATTCAATATAGGAGCTGGTGAGATGGCTCAGTGGTCTAAAGCACCTACTTAGAACAAGCTTAGCAAAGCACAGGGACCGCGGTTCAATCCTCCAGCACCACATGCCAACCAGCCCCGCCCCCTGGTGGGCTGAGCTGGCCACACACACACACACACATACACACACACACATAAATAAATAAAATTTAAAAAAAAAAAGAAAGGTTAAAAAAAAAAAGAAAATTCAATATATATTTTTTAAAAATGAATTTTTTAACATAACTACAACTCCATTAACACAGTTGGAAACATTAATAATTTAATATCAAATATCCAGCTCTTTCCACCATCTTTCCATGCCACCACAATGGTGCGCATGAATGTCTTGGCTCTCAAGAGCATCCACAATGCCGAAAAGAGAGGCAAACGCCAGGTCCTCATTAGGCCGTGCTCCAAAGTCATTGTCTGACTTCTAACTGTGATGACGAAGCATGGTTACACTGGCGAATCTGAAATCATTGATGATCACAAGGCTGAAAAAATTGTGTGAACCTCACAGGCAGGTTAAACAAGTGTGGCGTGATCAGCCCCAGGTTTGATGTGCAGCTGAGAGACCTGGAAAAATGGCAGAATAACCTGCTCCCATCTTGTCAGTTTGGTTTCACTGTACTGACAACCTCAGCTGGCATCATGGATTATGAAGAAGTGTGACGAAAACACACGGGAGGAAAAGTCTTGGGATTCTTTTTCTAAGGACATAAAACACAAATAAAATGCCTCGGCAGACTCTGGTGCTTCCATTTGATCGCTTTGAGCCTTTGTGCCAATGTAGGAAGATTATGGTGATGTTGAGTTAATTGGTGAATGCAGTTGCTCTGCTGTGAACAAGTCCTTTTATTTACCTGTATATCATCACTTGTGTGATGGTCTACCAGAAGATGGTGTTGGTAGGCCCTGGATGGGGTTGGGTTCATGCTCTGGAGTCTTAATTATTAATTATTATTAATTATACGCCAAAGGTCTAGTCCTTTGCTTTGATGCCTGACAACACATTTCACATACTGTGTAAATACTGCTGAAAACATGGACACAGTTCTTACTATGTTAAGTGCTCATAACGGAACAGTTTATGCCAGTGAACTGGGGCCACCAGTGTGCCAGTGGCTGTAAGTTGTCACTATTAAACATTGTTAGGAACTACTCCAAACCTGTCACATTTGCAGATGGGTATGTGGGTCCTCACTGTCATCACCTTGATTTCCTTGGGCCCCAGGAACTTTTACGTCAAAACTCTTAAGAGGATAATTGCAAGGGTAAAAGGCATAGACTGTATTCTGGGGCTGGGGGAGATTTTGCTTGCTGCACTTTCTCACCTAGGAAGTTCTTAGAGCTAGGTCACCAGAGCGTACCTGGTGGCCTCTGGAGGTGGGCCAGGACTGCATTCGCTCTGCCCAGGTCACTGTACTACAGGTCATGTTAATACAAACACTAGGGTTGGTACTTGTATTTTGTTTACTGGTCAGAAATGTTTGCATTTGAATATATAATTAGTATAAAAATGGAATTTTTCATTCTTTGTAGTAAATTTGAAATTTCTAACTTAAAAAAATAAAATATCCAGCCAGTGTTTGAACTTCAAATTGTGTAACGGCACATGTTGAGTTTTTTCTTTGTTGCTTTTATATATTTTACTTGCCAGGATCAAGATCACATATTGGACCTGGTTGATAGGGCTCTCAAATCTCTTAATCTACAGGTTTTTGCCTCTATTCTTTCAATCTCCTATTTCCTTTGAAGTTTATTCATTGGACTAGCTGACATTCATTCTACAGTTTCGTACTGCTTAGATTTTGCTAGCTGTCCTCACAGAACTGTTTTAACATCTTCCTCTGTTCTCTACATTTTCTCTATGAAGCTTAATCACATTGTTTGGTGTGGTTTGGTTTGGTTTGATGTCAGTACTGCTTGAAATATGATGTTAACTGTAGGATTTTTATAGTTGCCCTAGATTGTAAGGTTGAAAAGTTCCACCTGAGTCCTAGTTTGCTAAAAGTTTTTAAACCAGGAATGGATACTGAATTTTGTCAAATGCTCTTTCTGCATTCATGAAGAAAATTTTATTGTTTTTCTTTTCAACCTACTAGTATGGTAAATAAGACTGATTTACAAATGTTACCTTGGGTAAACATCACTTGCTCTAATTACTTTTTTTCCCTCACTATTGGTTCCTATTTGAAAGCATTTGGTTAGGGATTTTTGCTCATGAGATTATTTGGTCTATAGTGTTCTTTATTAAGTCTTTTGACTTATTATCAGTTTATCTAGCCTTATAAAATGAGTTAAGAGTACTCTTTTCTATTTTCTAAAGGACTTTGTGTAGAACTAATATTGGCCCTCACATGTGAATCTTTGTAATATCTTTCATGCCTCTATTTAACTTTTTGGGTTGTGGCTGTGGGGGGGGGGGTTGTTTCTATTTAACTTTTTGGACATATAGACCATAGCTTCAACAACTATTATGTCCTAGTCTACTAATTTTTTTTAACATATGAGTTATTTATTAGGTTCTTAGTAAGAAATTTAGGACACTAATTTATGAGGACAACTTCCATTTGTCAGAGCAAAAACAGACCACAGGTAGCCCTGGAGCTGAGGAACAGCTTTGATTTTTGCTAAAATCTGTGAGTGCACCACTTTCTGATCTACCTTGCGCTGCTCTGAAATCTGTTATCTCTCTTTCTCGGTGTCGAAGATCTCACTCTCCTGGTGTCTGGGTTCCCACAGCTTCTTCTTCTTGAAGTAAGCATCAGTGAGGTGTTTGGGGATTTTCACTTTGCTGATGTCAATTTTTGTAGAGATGGCAATGACAAACTTCTGGTATTTTCTTCATAGAGGAACATGAGTAAGGCTAAGAGGCCCCGTCACAAGTAGCAAGCCACTGGTCAACTGCTTCAGGAAGACCACTCTCTTGCCTCTGTGATGCCTGGTGAGGATGATCAAGATGGTGCTGGGAGTGATGCTAGCTCGAAGTTTCCTCACAGGCAGACTGAAGGGTTTTTTGCTGTGGCTCAAGAGCTTTCTGGGCACATCTTTAGTAGGGTAGTATCTAGGCATTCTTCAAAGCTTTACCACCCGGGTACCTCCATTCTTGTCCCCACCAACTAGTTTTGTGATCATAGCAGGAACTTTCTCCTTCTTTTTCTTTTCAACCTCTGATTTAGCAGCTGTCTACTTTCTCTTGTACAAAGCCTTTCTGGAATACATAGCAGATCAGGAGTATCTACCAATTCCTCTAACCAGGACAGAATTTCAGCTGCAGTGGGACTGCCCCTTCTTGGACATTTTTGTCTTCACCCTTTTTATTAGTACCACTGGCAGAAGCCTTCTTGGCTTCAGGTTTTTTCTCTTTAGTGTCTGGCTTCTCAGTTTTTTTACCCACCATCTTGCAAGATGGGAAAGAGCTAGCCTACTAATTCTAACATCTGTATTAGTCTCAGTTAGCTTTGATTTTTATCCTCATAGATAGTATTTTTCTATCTCTGGCTGAAGGGCAGAGATTATGAATTTTTCATTTTGCGTTCTAGAAATTCCTATTTCCTACCTGTCTCTAGTTATCTATCCCTTAAATCTACAAGCTTATTGCCACCAAGTTAAACTTCTTAAAAACTTTTAATATAAATTTTTTCTCATGAATCTGTATTTATTTTTTTAGTTTAAAAATGAGAATGGTGGTATTAAGTGAAATTGTCACATTTCTGAAGAAATGGTTAACAGGGACATTTGGCTTACATACTCAAATACCTATAAATACATCCACATGCATATCAACCTAGTGATTTTTCAAGAAATACCTCAAAAGACGAAAGTAAATTCTCAAATTTTCTATTTCAGAAAGAAAAACAACACGGAATTTCTCAAAGCAAGACTAAGATAATGGATTTCCCTTACCAGTGCTTGGCTAACGTTTCCTCCAGTGGCAAGTGACTTGAAATGGCTACTATTATAAACCAACTGAACTTCTGAGATCTCTACTGTTTCCAATTCCTCTTGCGTCTGCCGGTCAATCACATGCAACTTCTCCACGCTATCCAAGAGCACAACTGTGCGTGAGTTTATCCACTGCAATGCAAGTACCCAACAAAATAAAAATGAGGTCCAGTTCACATAATCAACTGGGACAAGAAGAAAACTTGAGTACTCAGTTACACTGAGAACCTTATTCATTTAATGACTTGCATGGCAACACAATCACAGCAAAAACTATTCAGGGACAGCCCAGAGAAAACACAGTACTGACTTTAAACAGTGTTAACATGACACTTTGAACCAGGAATGGTGATAAATGCCTATAATCCCAACACTCTGGAGGCTGAGACAAAAAGATCATTGTGACTTTAAGGCCAGCATGAACTACATCGGAAGACTATGCATCAAGCTAATAATAATAATTAATTTTAAGATGACATTTTAATAGGGTAAGAGATGACCAAGAGCTATAATAGAAGGTTAATTATCCCTTATTTGGAACATTTGGAATTTGAAATAATGGGACTCAAAAAAAACCTATATATACACATACACACACACATACATACATACATACTTATAACAAGATATCATGAAAAAAGCTCTCAATTTAAACACAAAACTCATTTCTGTTTCATACACACCTGGTCTGAAGGTAATTTTATTCAATATTTGTAATCCATCTGACCACAACCCATCACATGATGTTAGGTGTGGAATTTCCTACTTATGGCATGTTGGTACCTAAAA